GAGATGTCTGGAGTGTCACCTCTGTGTATATTGTGAGAAGTGGATCAGTGGCCTTTGGAGACGCTGGACGTCTGTGATCTTGGTTCTCTGAGCTCATGAATGAGAGGGGCTTTTGCCCACATACTGACACTGACACCTGTGTGTGTGTGTGTGTGTGTGTGTGTGTGTGTGTGTGCGCACGCGCGCGCGTGCCCACGAGTGCACACGCATGCAAGGGGCCAGGGCACCTGCTCTGTTGCAGGACGGGGTCTCCTGGGAAGGCAGTGGTCTCTATTCTGCTAGAAGGAAACCTGGAGGTCTTTGCTGCCCAAAGCCACAAGAGCAGCATTCACTGAACGCTGACCAGGCTCCACCCAATAGACGAGGAACATTTGACCTGGTTTCTCGCTTTGAAACCTCACAGAAACCAAATGCCCTGAGTCGTTGAGTTGATGCCGGCTCCCAGCGACCCTACAGGACAGAGTAGAACTGCCCCCGTGGGTTTCTGAGCCCATAACTCTTTAAGAACAGATGTATATGTATAAGGGATTCTAATCCACAGGGCTGGGGGGCACACGAGGCCGAGAGACACCAAGTGCCTCCCAGGGCCCCATGCCGACACACTTCAGGTTGTGGGCATGGTGGGTTTTCTAGCCGGTAAAGGTCCTTGTGCGGCTACACTGGCTACAGGGATGCTTGGCGTCACATTTGGGAATGCCCTGGTACAACCCCAAAGACTCCTCCCTGCAAGGATTATTTACCCTGGCGACTCCAGAAAGTCAAAAGGTCAGCCGTGGTCAAGTTGAAGAACAGCTCCCTGCTTTTGCAAAGAGGTGTCAGGACGTGCCTGCCACACTGGGACAGAGGGACACTGCTAGGACTAGAACTCCGATGTTCTGATCTAGACCCAACCTGCTTCCCAGGAGAGCAGGCTGTCTCAGAGAACAAAACACACCTGCAGGCAGCAGGCAGGGGCCAGGGAGGAGAGGAGGTTCACCCAGGCTGTGTGCTGACGAGAAGGGCAGGAGGGCAGCCTGGCACCGGAGGCCCAGTGTGATGGAGACAGGAGCTCTGAGAAGGAGCTGTCCACCCCAGTCTCCTGTCAGCAGGTCCTGAGAGGGATTCCTGGGGTGCTGGAAGCCACAGCCAGGAGGGAGACTCCTTGGGAGGGCTGATATTTATAAGGAGGCTTCAGAGCAGCTCAGTTCAGTTGACTGCACCTCTTTGGGCAACAAGCCCCCCTCGGAGACTTGTAAAGACCCATAGTTCTCTGGAGAGGCAGCCGCTCATTGCCAGCCTCCAGATAGCTTGCCAGCCCAAGCAAGGTCTGGCCCCAAGGTCAGGGCCAGCCCTCACTCGCTGTAAGACCTCCAGAAGTCATCTCACTTCTTCAAGGACCCCATGCCCATCTAGAAAATGGGTATACGGAGGCGAGAACTCACGCAGATGTTCTGTGAAAAGCATGAAAGTATCACATGCCTGTTCCTGCCCATATAGTCCCTTATCCACCCACAAAGCTGCGAGGGCAGGCTTGGCAGCCTTTGACCATGTAGAACGGAGTCAGCAAAAGTCCAAGTCTGTTCAGCCTGCTCTCTTCCCCATCTGGCTTCTGTGGGAGACACTGTGCTAAGCAAGAAGAAGAGAGGAGGGATCAGATAGAATCCCTGCCCCCCAAGAGCTGCCAGTCCAGTGACTTCCAGCGAAGTCCCTAATCAACTTCAAACTGCGTCCCTCTTTTGTTGATAAGGAGCTCTAATACTACAATGGTTAAGTGCATGGGGATTCCACCCCACCAGCCACTCTGTAGAATGAAAGGACTTTTAGAACTGCTCCTGATGACAGCCCAGACAGCCCTACGGGGCAGTTCTTGTCTGCTAGAGGGTTGCTGTGCCTCATGAGCATGCAGCGACCACATCTTGTTCAGCAGCCTGGCATGAACCTGCCTTCTTCCGGGCTCCTCGTGCGGCCTGACAGGTGCTCGCTTAGCTCGTGGTGCACCTTCCTCAGGGAGGACGTGAAATCTGACCTCGATTAAGCTAAGAGCTCCAGACACAAAAGGCAAAAGGCATAGTCCCCCGGGTGCGGGCAGGCTCCCGCGGTAAGAACTCCTAGAACCTCAGCCATCCCGGGCCTCGAAGAAACTCTGTCGGGACAAGCTATGGGACAAGGGACACACGTGGTGGGTGGGGGAGCACTGGGGCTAAAAGTGGGGATAGGAGAGGATGGCGAAGGCAAAGCCACAGGCCCAGGTGGGGCGGCGCTGAAGAGGTCTGGAGCCCTGCTTAGAAAGAGGCCGACGCCCCTGGCTGCTCCTTCAGTGGGGTGCCACAGGGGCATCTGTGGGCTGGCAGTAGGACTGGGCACAGTTTGGCCATGCCTGGCAAAGGTAGGCCAGGAGCCTTTATCCCTTTAACATTTGTAGACACTCTGAGCCCTTGGGGAACAAGAGCCACCCATCCCCACTTCCAGCAAGTATCAGATGCTAAAGCTGGGGACTTTGTTTCACAGGCCCCAGAGTTCCCCATCCCCTGCCCTATGATGCTCGGAGGACTGTGAGGGCCCTAGGAGGGGGCGGGGGGCAGCAAGTCCTCAGGGAGGTCTTGCTCCACGCTTTGAGCCACTTTTCAGCTAGCCATTCTTTTTCCCAACCTCCATAGATGAGACCCCCACGTGATCAGTGCAGATGGCTCCCCCAGGCCTCTCTGTGCAGCATCCTTACCAGTAAACAGAAAGTTATTAGGAGAATGCCACAGATGGAGAATAATGCTTCCCCACCGTGACCGCCCATTCATCTCCCTCCCCTTTACACCCTAACTGTCCTCACCCCGCCCCCTCCCTGAGACCTGCTCTCGGTTCCCCAGGCCTGAGCCCACCTCACTCCCCGCAACTCTGAGGGGACTTGTCATCCAACCCACCTATTACAGCTCTCGGGTACAAACCACATCAAATACTGGATAGCGCTTGTGTATATGTGTGTGTGTGTATGTGTGTGTGTGTGTCCACTGCCATTGAGACAATTCCAACTCACAGTGACCTTATGGGACAGGGTACAACTGCTCACTCGGGCTTCCGAGACGTATAACTCTTTACTGGGATAAATAGCCTCATCTTTCTCCCATAGAGTTGCTGGTGGACTTGAACTATGGATCCTGCAGTTAGCATCTCCACACTTAACCCATGGGACCACCGAGGTTTGCTTGTAGATACATACATAAATAGATACCATAACAACAAGCAAATCAATGCAGGGTTGAGTCTGCTGGATGACAATTCCACGTGGGACAGAGGAGACCTGTAGCCCATTGTATGTCAATGTCTGGTGTCTAGGAAACGGACCTCCAGGATGCTTTTCTGATGTGCCCTGTCTGTATTTGAACTGCCAACCCTTTTGTTTGCAGCTGAGTACTTCACTGCTTGTGCCACCCAGGGAAATCACACACACACACACACACACACTCACACACACACACTCACACGTGCGTGCACAAGGATAAATAAAAAATATGGCTATAAAATCATGTATGAAATAAAAGTATTAAAAATTATTTCTTTCCTGACACAGCTTCCCTCTCGGTCTGTACACTTCCAAAGGCAGGTTTCCCTCTCTACCCTTTCCTCAGAGGACTCTGCTTTTCAGTTTAAAGCCTGCCAAAAGTGCCCCCCTTGGGGGACTCCCAGCGCGTTCCCTTTAAAGGCCTTTGAAGGGGCAAGATCAGGCTGTAGAACGCATGGGGTAAGGATTCCCAATGAAATGCCATTAGAGAATGAGCAAGAGCATTGTCCTGATTGAAAAAAGAAATTCTTTGGTGCAAATTTCCGGATCTTTTTCTCACCGATGCAGTTTTAATTTTCTTAAAACAAGCCATCATAATGGTTTAGTATCTTTAAGAAAATCTATCAGGATGGCCCCTTTTGAATCCCATAAGCCAGTTGCCATAACCTTCCGAGCTGTCCTGTCCGCCTTACATTTAACCGGCCCTGCAGATCTCCTCGGAAGCGAGCTTCGATGGGATC